GGGGTGGGCAGCAGCTTTTTAAAAATTAAAAGCTTCACAACTGTGAACCTAAAAATTTACAGCCATTTTGAAAGAGATGCATCTTTGCTCTGAAGATTGCTATTGAATATGTCAATGCTGTTGTAATGAAATGCTTCTTCTAATCATGTGGTTATTAAATAAACAAAAAGAATTAACAGCTGCTGAGATTCACAGAACCTCACACCAACCTTGAAATAAATGTGTAGACTTTCTCTGAGGCAAAGTAACCCTAAAATATCAGTATTCCTGGTATAGTTTGGGTCCTAAATGTCCCCAAAAAGTCCTTCTGTTAAAGGCTTGTCAACTTTGGCACTATTGGGAGGTGGGGCTTATGTGGAGGAAGTTAGGTCACCAGGGATTTGCCCTTGGAGGGGACACTGCAACTCTGAACTCCTGTCTTTCTCTCCCTCTGCTTCCCAGCTGTCATTAGGTGGTAAACAGGCCTCCTCTACCACATGTTCCCACACTGATATGCTGTCACAGCAGAGCCAAGTGATCATGAGCTAGAACTTTAGAACTGTGAGCTCAAATGAACCTTGTTTCTCTTAAGTTGAATATCTTGGATCTTTGTCCTAGTAACAGAAAGCTAACACTGAGATAGGAAACAAGCACATGTACCTTATACCCTCTTTATAACTGATACCTTCACCTTCATTCTGATGAATAAAGACAGAAAATAAACATATGACTAGAGACTGGAACAAATGCAACGTAGGAAACAAAGACAGGTCATGAAAAAGAATAAGGAGAGTAACTAGCATGAGGTGGTCAGGCATGACTTTTCTGAAGAGACACTGAAACCAAAATCAAAGGACAGGAGTGGGCAGAGGAAATAGCACCTGTGGACACCCTGGGGCAAGAAAGGGCTTGTACACTGGATGAACAGAAACAGCTGGGTTGCTCCCATCAGCTTTAGACTGCAACCTAATAGCAAGAACAACAAGGGGAGATTTTTGTTTGTGATATGCAATTAAATAGAATAAACTAGACAGGCAACATCAGAATGCGCCCTGGGTGATAAAGGAGAGCAGTGTCTTAGGAAGCTTTGGTTTAAATACATAATCCGTTTAACTGGCTCTTAGTTTTAAGTACTTAGCACTACTCCATACAACATTAAGAAAAGTGCTGTCAATCAAACCATGGCATGTTTATGTATAACATGACTATAAACATACATCCTAATTTTGGTTGCCTTAGAATCAACAAAATACAGTACATAGTGGCCCTCTGTGTATAGGTACTGTACCCATGGATTCAACCAACCATAAACAGAAAATATTCTGGAGAAAATGTGTTTCCATGGTAAGTATAAACAGACTGTTTTCCTTGCCATTATTCCCTAAACACCACTGTGAGCGATTTTTCCAGCACTTACACTGCATTAGTATTCTAAGTAATCTAAAGATGATGTAAAGTATACAAGAAGATGTACAAACATTCTAGGCCAATACCATACCATTGCCTATAAGGGGCTTGAGCATCTAATTTTGGTATCCATGAGGGGCCTTTGAAACGATCCCCCAAAGATGACTATCCTCTCTTGCAGTAGATTATAGTTAAAAAAATTTTTTTCTGAGTTGTGGTCATCTTTTGAAAAAGCAAAATCAAGACAAGGAAAAAACTAGCGCAGGTCATGACAGAAAGGCCAAAAATCTTGAAGGTCCAGTAAGGTATTTGGGATGCATTCAAAATGCATATAATTTTTAAGAAGAATGATGTGATCAGATTGCTGTTTGAAGGTTGCCATGGATGTTGTAGGGAATGCAGATCAAATAGAACAAAGGGAGAAAGGAACAGGAAAACCACTGAAGACAGAAATGATGGCAGGTTGGGGTAGGGTGGAGGACCAAACCAGACAGAAGCGGATGGAACCAGAGTCTCTTTGGAGGCATACTAAAAAGGCATGCAGAATACTGTGGAGGCTAAGGGAAAGAAGAGTCAAGGACAGCCTAACAGATGTCTGAACTGAGGGACAGGGTAGATTATAGTACCACTTGCTTAGCTATGAAAGCACAAAGAACTATCTGGTCTCTGGCAGAGGAAAAATGCTCCTTAGGGGGAAAAAAAAAGAAATGGGGTAGCAGTTAAGAGCACTGGCTATCTGTAACTCCAGTTCAGACAGGGGATCCATCATCCTCCTGTGGCCTCCATGGGCATGTACACATGTGGTACACTTACATACATGCAGGCAAACACTCATACACATAAAATAAAAATTTTTTAAATTAAACTTACTCTCCATAAAAAGGTCTATAAAATAACTACATAAAAATTTTTAGATCTATGATGTATTCTCTAATATGTCCATTTCTTTAGACATCTATAATAGATTATCAATACTTTGGAATATTAGTTAACTTGACATAGCAATAGAAACTATACAAAACACAACAGACTAAAAGCAGACTAAAATAAATGAACAGAGAGCTTCAGTGAGCTGTGAGAAAAGCTGGAGCAGCAGACTCTGCAGTCTCTGAAAGAGCACTTTGAGCGAGATAGAGAAATATCGGAAGCAGCAATGGCTATAAATTTTCCAAAGCTGTGATCCCACAGATACAAAAAGTTCGATGAACCCTAAGTTAACATGAAGGCACCAGGAGTGGTGGCATATACCTTTACCCAGCACTCAGGAGGCAGAGTCAGGAGGATTTCTGTGAGTTCGAGGCCAGACTGGTCTACGTAGTGAGTTCAAGGATAGTCAAGGCTACATAGTGAGACACTGTCTCAAAAAAAAAACAAAACAAAAAAAATCAAGAAACATGAAGACAACCTTATGCACGTCATAATCAAACTGCTTAAAACAAGCTGGAGAAAAGACACATTACATACAGAGACACAAAGACAAATGTTGTATGGCTATTTCCTCCAAGATGGATATGATTACCACCACCTTAAATCAGAGCAACTGTGATCACCAGCAGGAGTCTCTTGTGGGACTGGGCCTACTAATGGTCCCCAGTAGAGGAAGGGGAAGGCTCCTGAGGCCCTCCCCTCCCAGAAGGTATACAAGCAATAGTTGATGGCCAAGAGAAGGAAACTCGGGGGTGTAGCTGTCCATAAGGTTATCTGTGCTCCTATAAGTAACAGCAAACAATTCATTGGTTCACCAGGCTGGACTTGGGTGGAATGGTTTTTTTGACTGTTGTTGTTCTATAGACTCCCCAGGAAAAGACACACAACAAGCAGACAGACTTCTCACAAGAGATGCTGTGGAGGGAGGAGGCTAGATGATAATACAGCATCGACCAAAGTTCTGTATCAGCAAAATATCCTTCAGAAGTAAAGATGAAATGAAGGCTGTCTCTGATATACTGTAGCTGGAGGGATTTCTCACCGGTCAATCTACACTATAAAGAAACGCTAAAGGGGACTGGAGAGATGGAGAGTTAGAACTTGCTGCTCTTGCAGAGGACCCAGGTTCAGTTCCTGGCACCACATCGTGGCTCAAAATCATCTGTAACTCCGCATGCCCTTTTCTGGTCTCTAAGGGTACCAGGCACACACACTGTGTACATGCATACATGCAGACAAGACACTCAGACACATAAAATAAAACCTTCACAAAAAAGACAGAACTTTAAAATAAATAAAATAAAATAAAAACATAAATAAATACTTCAGACAGTAGGAAAATGACCAGAAACCTGTGTCTAGATACTTTACATGTAGATCTACCTGGAGTTGCTGAGGGCATCCAGGTGGTGGGCCCTAGGGGAAGGCCCTCATGTCATGACCTTGAAAAGATTATGGGACCCCAGTCCCTTCTTCTCTCCCCTCCATCTTTGATTTCCAGTCATGAGGTAGGTGATTTGTATCCACCTTGCCTTCCTGCCATGTGCTGCCTTACCACAGGCCCAAACTAAAGGAGTCAATCAATCATGGACAGGAACCACCAAAAGTGTTAGCCAAAAAATGAGCTTGTTTTCTTCATAAGCTGATTGTATTGGGTATTTCATTACAGTGATGGGATGCTGACTGACTATACCAAGTAACAAAAGACTTAGTAACAAAAGACTTAGTAAATTAATTGGGTTAGAGTAACATTTATCTAATGAAGGAACATAGCCATCTGTACTACTGTTGAAATCTCATTTACAACCAATGATCAAGAGCAGTCTGGCCTGTGGACCCTTCAACCCCTCCAATGTACTCTATGATCACTGTGGACGAAACAAAGGGTCTTCCATAGAGAAAGAACAGGCCTTTACACTAATCAATCCTAAGTTAGAGGTCAGCAAACTGTTTAAAGATAGTAGATATTTCTGATCTGAAAGCCATTCAGTCTACTTAAATCTACCCTCACAGAGTTCAAAGGTCACCAGAGAAATATGTAAATGAAGCTGGGGAGATGGCCCAATGAGAGCACAAGCATGAGGGCCTGGATTTGATCTCTAGAACCTGAAAAGCCAAGCATGGGAGTGCATATCTATGATCCCAGCCCTGGAGAGGTTGAGATAGAGGATCCCAGGGCTGCACTAGCCAGCTGGGCTAGCCAATTGGCAAGCTCCAGGTCACTGACA